AGGAGACTTGTGCACAGGTCCAAGGTCAGCATCCACAGGTGAAACAGAAAGAAGGGCAAAGTGAACAACAAAACGAACAAGAACACCATAGACCATCTGAAAATCCTACCAAGGACTGGAGACAATGGGGTCCAAAGTGGGGGCCCAGACGTGGAAAAAAACCACTGGCACAGATCCGAGACGGCACCTTGATGGAGTCGGGCAGCATGAAAACCAGCACTCCTAAACCTAAGACCTCCACTGTGCTCAGTCTACACCAGAGATTGAGAGCTGGGGAAGGTGGACTGGGGTGTCTCAAGAGAGAGAAGAGCCTCCAGACAAGTACGCCATTCAAAGCCAATAGTGCCCCAATAACACAACAAAATGGTGACTTCTTAAAAGATCAGACTTTGGAAACACTGCCAGTTGATTTTGTTGCAAATCCAGGCCAGGAAAACTGCAATGGATGTGAAGAGTTTATGCACTACCAGGAAGGGAAAGCACATGGTTTACAAGTTAATAACAATGCAGAGGTTGAGGACAGGAACCACTCTGTCTCTGACATCACCCTGTCACGCTGTAACATTGGAGACGGTGACAATGACGGCTACGATGACAGTTGGCTCAGTAACAAAGACTCCAGCAATTCTGATCAGTTTAATGCGCTTACTGACCACCAGGAGGTGCTAAGTCCAGCCTGGATACCGGTCAACTCCAGGATAAGCCCAGCTCTGAAACCTACAGCCCCCAGAAGTGTGATATGTGGGTCCTTGGGGGCAGCACCCAACCGTAGTGGCTATCCTCACAATAAATGGACTGTGGTGCCAAAGACAGACAAAGTTGGTGGAAATTCCAAAAGGAGGGTAGTCCCTGTACAGAAGGCTTACAGCGACACTGCCCTGATAAGATCAGACTCTAGTACAGCGTCCAGAAATGTCTCTTACATCCAGCCTGTGAATAATCAGTCACGTGACCAGTCACATGATGGGTCACATGATCAATCACTTGATCAATCTTCTGATCAGCTGAGCACCTCCTCTGTGGACTGGTTTGAGGTGCAGGACAGCCCCTCTCGCCATATACGTTTCCAGAACACCTCCAGCAGCTACAGAAGTGTAGATGGAGCCACTAGTGATAGCAAACTCAGATATGGAAGCTGGGAAGAATATAATGAAAATAATGGTGGGACTTCAACGGAAATAAAAATGACACAGGGTGATGGTAATGACAATAGTTCTAGTTATAACAGTTGGGAAGAATACAATGACAAGGACAGTGTTCCAGTGAGGTTGTCATCAGTGACACCAGAGTGTATGTACAGAGAACAAGACTGGAGGTGGGGTGGCGGGGGCAGGATGAGTGACCCTGGTCCCCTGAGAAACCAACTGATGACCATGAACAACCAAGGTCAGGTCACATTTGGCAGTGTGGGTGGTGCACAGACAGCAGCTGGAAACTCTGGTTCCAGGAAATCCTGGGGGAGAGGACGGGAGGAGGATGTGTGGAGGAGGCCTGTGGCGGGGTGGACAGCCACAAAATCATCGTCCAATCTGGAAACGGCAAAGACTCAGGGCTTTGGAAGTAGTTCATCTCTGAACTCAGAGGAGACTGGGGTGTGGAGCAAGGCGTTCTGTAAGAAGTTCAGCAGTGTTGATATTCCGTACATTGACACTCACTGTCATATTGACTTCCTGTTTCGAAGGACAGGCTTCAAGGGGACATTCGCCAAGTATAGATGTCAGAACGAGGCTACGTTTCCTGCCAGCTACGAGGGATGTGTGGCAGTGTTCTGTGAACCACATTCTTTTAAAGTTCAAGGTATGAAAATGATGGTTGTGTATTATTTTTGTTTTACAGGTGCAAAGAAAACATGTTTGGTAAATCTGATATCATATTGAAAGACTTACCTTTAACAACTGTGTGTAAAAGGGAATTTGTAAATTTTGTCGCTGAATAAGAACTTAAATTTTTCAAATACTAGTTGCGGATCTTATGTATGGAGCTCATAGATATGTATCTCAGAAAATCTTTAAAAGAAAAAGATACAGATATTTAAGTAGGAGTTTTTAATGAATATTTTATTTCCTCAGGTGGTCTATGGCGTGATATAGTCCAGGAAGAGGGGGTGTGGGGTGCATTTGGCTGTCACCCTAAGTGTGCCACTGACTACACCCTGGTGTCTGACCAGGGGCTCCAGGTGTGCCTACGTCACCCTAAGACAGTAGCCCTGGGGGAGATAGGACTAGACTACTCTGGGAAGTAAGTACATATTTAGACTGACCAAGATAATTGTTGTTATCATATCACTCCACTCCACTCCCAGTGGCCCTGGGTGAGGTAAGACTAAACTTGATGTGAAAAGGGCGTTGGTGTGGGTCGACTACCTACAAATAGCAGACAACGGCCTGTTTGAGTTGAGACTTCAGCTCTATGGAATACTGGTCTGTACTGCTTATAAAAATATCTTCCTTACAAACAAGGCATTTTATGGAAATCTTCTACCTCATTATTTTGTAGGTTTGGTAGTTTGAAAGAGAAGCAGAAGCTTGTGTTTGTGAAGCAGTTACAGATGGCGATGGACAGAGGTCTGCCGCTGGTCATCCACTGTAGGGAAGCTGAGGATGACTGCTTTGAGATTATGAAGACTGTGAGTTCACTTCAGGAGATATTGCAGACTCTCACAAATTTCATGTACAGTTGTGACATATGAGCTACTTTATTTGTTCGCATTAAAAAATATATGTAAACCAAATTAAGTTTAAAGTTGGCTTTGCTAGATAGACCCAGGACCTTTGTGGTGAAAATATCTTGTTTCCATAACAGTGTCAGTAACATCTTCTAGATGGTTCCAAAAGACTGGAAGATTCACCGCCACTGTTTCACCAGAGACTGGCAGGAGGCGTCCCGCTGGGTGGCGTTCTTCCCTAACCTCTTTGTGGGTCTGACGCCACTGGTGACCTACAGTTCGGCAGTGGAGGTCCACCAGGTGGCCCGCTGTCTGCCCTTAGATCGTCTGCTGCTGGAGACGGACGCTCCGTACTTTGTGCCACATGGGGTGAGGTGGTGAACTTTGTCAGTGATGACATCTTTGTTGTTTTACTTTCAAATATGATTCATTGAAAAGTTTTTATAAAGTTTTGAAAATACTCACACTACATAATTACGCTCTCCTGATCAACATGATACAACAAAAGTAAATAATTGAAGGGAGTAAATAAACAGATGGATAAAAATTGTAGCATCGATTTATAAATTATTAAGAGTTACAACAACCCTTGAAGGACCTATTTTTCTTCACATTTCAATTTTCAGTTATGTTGGGTATTCTCTGTTTTAGCTGTGTTGGATATTTCTCTGTTTTCTGTTAGGCTAGGTATTTCTCCATAACAGTATTCTAAGAGTATATATACACTAAGAGTGTATGCTCTGTGTTCCAGGTGCGGAGAGATGAGATGCAGTACTCGCACCCTGGTCTGGCTGTCGTTGTTGCGGACGAAGTGGCCATGTGGAAGGGAGTAACCACACACGAGGTCCTTAAGGCATGCAGGGAAAATACCAGGAAAATGTATGGGATTTAAAGTTTATGTTCACTTGGAAAATCAACAAGGACGACAAACTAGTGAAGTGTTTTGGACTTCCAAACAAGTACTAGCATATGTGAATACTGTAGACTTAGAGAGAACAGAAAAAGGGTTTGGTGGAAAAAAATGGATAATATATCTTGGTATATTTTAGACTAAGGTACTGAGGTACTATGTATGGGATGTAACTTGATCTAGAGAATAGAGAGTGGCATGAGTTTTCCTTGGTTTTACTTGCTGCCTGATTATATATAGAGAAACAGCATGTGTTATAGGTGGACAGATGTGGCCATATCCCCTAAAAGATGGTAGAAAATGAAGTTATTCTTGAATGAAATATACCTAGTCAAGGTACGAAATATGACATTTATTTCCAGCTGTTGATGTTTTCCCAAGTCCTTCCCCAGATGCTTGGAGCTGGAATAAGATAACTTCTGGGTATCATATCGTTGGTAATTTGTATATTGTAATTTGCATGTATTTAATTTCAGTACTCTAGTACCCACATTTTTCTGAGATTAACTATTCCAAGTGCCAGTGACTCCTTGCATGTCAGTTGATTGTACAGACTCACTAAATATGTATTCACATTGCAGTATTCACATATCTGTATTCACATGGCAGTATTCACATATTTCAATTTGTATTCACATGGCAGTATTCACATGGCAGTATCACATATGTACTCACATGTAAGTATTGTTTAAGTGGACAGATATGAGGTGTCCATTGTACAGCTACCCTCACTTCAGTAATTACATATTCTAGAAAATGAAAAAAAAAATCTTTTGTTTCTAATTCAAAGACTACAAAACTACGTGGAAATACAGATACTTGGGTTTTATTTACTATCATTCAAATATTACATATTATTTTAGCATTCTATAACAAATGCCATTGTAATTGTTTGTTAGTTATGAAAATTAAATAGTGTTAAATGGTCATATTCTTATTTTATCTGTTACAGTTATTTTCATAGTTGGTTGAATTTTCTCTGTAACAAATGGATTTGTAACAGAAGTATATTGAAAATTTAATGAATAATTTTTGCTTAGTTTCAACAGGATTTCTGTGGAGTGTTGAGGAATGAAAATCCCTCTTCGTAATTGCATGTAGATCCCTTTTACGTAATCTGACTATATTTATTTCCAATTCTGATTTTTACTGTGACATTCACTATGTCATACCTTTCTATGACAAATCCTTGGATAATAAAAAGGTTTACCATTATTTCACTACACATTAGTCGAGTATCAAAGTTGTCCACATTTTCCTATAATGTGCTGAAGATTTGCTGACAAGATACCTAGTCACACAGTGGATAATCTGGAAAGGATTGCAACGTTTTCACACGATTCTCATGTACAGTAAAGTTCTAAATACCTGACTTTTTCTGACATTTTACTATCAAAAATCATTTTCAAGCATTCATATTCACAACTTCATTCAGGACTTTCAAATTGGCATAAATTACATTAACCAAACATTTTAGGGGGTTGGAGGGGGGATACTAATCCATGTTGTTTGAATTAATTGAGGGTTTGCTGTAGTTCGCGTGATAGGTGACTGCTATAGGAGGATTGACAATTGTCTTATCTCAGGTATTGAGCACTGTATCCTTTGATGACTTCCGAACCAGATCAAGGTGCATACGCCCAAAAATGCGACCGAAGGACTCGAAGCAAGGGTCAGAAAATGTACGAATGCACATTCCAAATACTGTCCCAATTGCCTTGAGTTGAATTCCGTAGCTTTTTATAGAGGGCACCACGCTCCAGATGTTACAGAAAGTGAGACAGGCGAAGTGAATACCCCAGCAAAAGGCACATGGGACGCCACAGATGGCACTCAATATGCGGTAAGTCCATTTTTTGGTTGCACTGAAGGTGGCAAAACTTGTCCGCCATATTGTCTGAAAGCTATGGGTACCTTCTGGTTCTGCTATCACATCCTCAAAGAGAACCTGGCAGAGGGAAGAAGAATTGCAATTCGTTTTGTTAAGATATTTGTTTTTAAACCTAAAGTTCAAATGTAAAAGATTCACCATTTTAAATGTGGAATTCAAAGATGTCAAATGTTGACTAAATACAATCTTCAAACTGTTTGGATTACAGGTTAAGCCAAAAGCAATGTGTTGGGAGAGGGTTCCAGATGATCAACTTTTCCCGTCATCACATCACATCACATCACATCACATCACAGAGCATACCTTCAAATGGTCATTCATGTTGGTAGGATCACGGTCAGTCATGTCCAGTGCGAACGGTGCTATCACCTTGAAGTTAGATGGTGGCTCCATCTTGTGGTCCGTTGGTTCACTGTTCAGGGAGACATTGGAGCCAAATTGAGGCTTAGCTGTAATGTCAGCAGATCCAGCCGTCTCTTCTGTGTCAGACATGACAATTTAAAGACTTGTAAACTGAGCAACTCCTTAAAAACCTGATACCTGAAATTTGTTTTCAGTTAGGCTACCTGAAAACTATCACAGTTTCAAATCAAAGGCACTTTCTTGAAATACCAGATGTTCAACTGTCCACAATTTTTACAAGTTTGAAAAAAAATCTTCTTTCTGTGGAAAAGTCCCAGTACTAACTTCTGAAGATGGGTGGTGTTGTATTGCTGGTTGTAAAAGGGGGAGGAGCATGAAGTGAGGGTTGCTACAAAGAGGTGTACAGTGATATTGCATTTATTAGTGGACAGCATTTACCAAATGTCACTGTTCTAACATGCAGCAAGTTGTAAATATTAACAGCAATTATTGGATTTATTTAAATTATTTAAAAACTGCCTTTACTTGATAGATTCAAATGGTTTATTGGCCATTTTATCAGTTACAAAACTATATTTTGTGTTCAGCACCTCTATTTGTCCCCCTCAAGGAACGTGACCTTTATGAAGGTTATCAATCTACCTTTACTGTGCACGATCTGGTGGAATATTGATGTAGAGGGCAAATCGGGTTATATTTTAACAATGTTATCAGCAATAAAATTTGGCACCTCTGGCAATTGTAATAGATTGAAGTGGTGATGATCAAGATTTTGTATCAAAATATTTTATTTTTCGGGTTTGATCATATTTAAGGAAATTGGAAATGGTAAAAATAAGATGCTTTTCAGGATAAAAAGTATGACATTGGGACAATTAAAAATGCAGGCAGGATAATTTTATATTAAAAAAAAATTAATGTCTTCAGATTTTAACCAGAGCGCACACACTTTATTTGTTAAGACCAGGGGGATGCTATTTTATAGACATCTCAGCATGTACACAGTACATCAGCAGTACCCAGTCCAAGTCAAGAACCACCTGTCTGATCCCAAGCCATGATATCAGTACTAGGGTGCGTTCACAATAAATCTATTGTACTAGCTAGTGTGTACTAACTCCATGGAAACTGGTGTAGATTGCAAGCCTCCTTTGTTGAGTAGAAAATACAATAAAAACTAGTGATTATACTAATAGGTTGAAAACGAGAGGTGTGAATCTGTTCACCTGATTGCATTCAGCAAGAGTATCTGTGGAGTTACTATGCAGTAGCTAGTAGGACAGATATATTGTAAACTGGCCCTATTGGTATCTATAAGTAATATTGGGTCACCAGGACACCTGGTAGTTAACTGCTGTGTACCTCATTGTTTTCCTGTTAATGATTAAAGAAATGTTTAATCATGACACAGTTTTTGATATCAGTATGTCTTGTTTTACACAGGTTCAGTTGTTCTGGGATAGCCTTGCGCTCATCAAATGTGTAGGATCCTTGAGACAGCAACATGTCAACTAGGAGTTCTTTTCCTGAACAAATTATTTTGTGCCTCCTCTTTATAAACACTTTACTTTTGGCTTACATTGTTGTGAAGACATGAATTTACACGATGCAAATCCATAGTTGGCAAAAATGTAGTTCTATGCAATTAATAATTGTTCAGTAACAAATACACCAAAGGTATGAAAAATACTGCCATTTCTTTATTTATCATATTTTTTTTACATCTTTAATTTATGTGACATTGGTTATTTGATTTATCATATTCAGAGAAATCATATTTAGATTTAATCTACTGACAAATGAAGTACATTTCCACTGCATTTTCTACTGGGTCCAAATCTTCATATGGATTACACAGTGCAGGTACATGATAACTGGGCCTCAAATTGTCACCTCAAAAACACTAAAGATGAACTTGAAACAAGGATGTAATGCAGCAAAAATAAATGACAAAATCAAATAAACTTAAAATGTAAATCTGACCTTGCTGAATCTTAAACTTGACCTGCATTATGCTATGACAAATAACTTAATCCAGCTACAGTAAAACCTGTAGATCTACCTCCTTTAATACCAAGAAATATCTCTCATTTTTAAAGCATGACAAATTGCTCCAGCTAATTTTCAGTAAAAAAAGACACACCTTTTCAAAATTATTGCAGTAACAAGACAAGTGCACATCCCTGGCACAAAAGGCTTGGACTACAGTGACAGCTTTATTTGTATAAACACAAAGCATTTCGTTTTTAATCCTTTCTCATCTGTTCAACTTGCATTCCTTTTCATCTTCCTTTCACTACTCCAACAAAGATATAATACAATCTAGTCTTGATATTCTGGAAATATTTTTTTTATATCATATTCACATCCCTGTCCATGTAATTAAAACAAGAAGATAGTGTTGTAGTATTATCTCTACTTATGTCTGCATCAATTAAGTCCAAGTTTACAGCCATGATCTCTCCTCACTCAGGCCTACCCAACTACCAGACTAGGCACATAAGGATCCCGAATTAACCGGTATATCGGACCACACTACCCGTTTCAGGATCCTTATGTGCAGAGTCTGGTAGTTGGGTAGGCCTGTCACTGTATTTACAGTCCTAGGCTCTGTTCACAGCCAAGTTGATCCCAGACTAACTACCCATTAGTTGATTACACAACAAGCTTTCAAGTGGGTCGCACCCCATTTGATCCACAGCTCAGATGATCAACTAGGTTGTGAACAGAGCCCTATTTACTGGCTTCCTCAAGACAACTAATCAAAAGGAGTAAATATTCTGCCATCTTTTGACTTCCTCCAGTGCCATGTACCACAGTGCAGAAACTAGGTCACTTTCTTCTTCTTCCTCCCCGGTCCTCCGCCTCCACCCCCTCGCTTCCCCTTCCCGCCTTTCTTCTTCTTGTCCTTACATTTCTTACAGAACCACTGCTCATCATCGCTAGGGGGGTTGACGATACCTACACAGACCCTGAAATATTAAATTGGATGCTGGCTGTGACAGTTGTAAAGCTGGAAATGAATATTGCCTGTTTTTATTTGAAATTCCTTCCAATCTTTTTCAGAACTGACTTCATCATTTTCAAACATAAAGCAACTTCAATAAGTTCACTGCCTTGAATACTGAACATATTTCAGGAAAATATTAAAAATAAATAAAAGAATGATTTTTTTATAATACCATATCACATTGCTATGCCATATATATTTATTTCCTTTCTTTTCTACTTAGTAATAAACCACCTGTTGCTGGAACTACCTCTCCTACAAATCCAACTCTATTTCTGGCCAAGTCATAGGATCTTGGACTATCTTCAATGATTTTGATGATTGGTGTCATGCCATTTTAACCAATCAAAACTTACCAGTGATACCAGTCGTCATGGTTTCAATGTCATTTTAACCAATCAAAACTTACCAGTGATACCAGTCGTCATGGCTTCAATGTCATTTTAACCAATCAAAACTTACCAGTGATACCAGTTGTCATGGCTACAATGTCATTTTATCCAATCAAAACTTACCAGTGATACCAGTCGTCACAGCCATCACAGCCAATCATTGGACTGCCGTCATCTTGCAGTTTACAGTTGGGGCAAATCCAGATGGTATTGCCAGCCTCATCCTAATACAGAGAAATATATGTCACAGATTAATAAGTATTATGTAATGCAGGGTCCCACCCAGATAGTGTGGCAGTATCTATTTTCAGTTATTAAATCAACAAGATATATAGATGAGGATTCAGTTAACTAATCGATAAACATAAAATTGAGATGAAATGTAATGTAGCAGTAAATCAGATATTCTTACCACAAACTGGTACTGTCCTATGGTTTCCGTGACAACAACACATTTCTGGGCAGCTGCTTTTGACTTGAGGGCAGGGGGTGGCATGGGAGGTACCACAGGGGGTGAGAGGGGTGCCTTGGGCACTCTGGGGGGTGAGGGGGGTGGAGAGGGTGATGATTCAGGAGAGAAGTGGAAGGGGGACAGAGAGGTAGCAGAGGGTGGGGTTTTGGCTCTGGTCACCCTGGGCGGTGAGAAGGGGGTGGGGGTCTTAGAGGCCTTGGTGGGGGACTTGAGGGGTGGGGGTATGGGTGCCGCCTTTGGCTCTGGTCTATCCACTCTGGGGGTTGATGCAGCCCTGGGGGGTGAGGGTATTGACAGAGGGGGTGGCTGATCCCTTGGTGGCATTGGCTTGATAACCCTTGAATACACAATGTACAAATGTCATCATTCCACCTGCCCACATGTTGGACTGAAGTATCATCCAAAAATTTTTTTTGAAGTATAATTAATGCAATTAGATTAGAACCTGTTTTTACTACAAAAGAAAAGCAATCCAAAATGGCAGCTCATTACAGCACCTTTAGCAACATTTAAATTATTTCTCAGACATGATTATTGTTGTAAGAAAAAAAAGTAGTAAGAAATGACTCAGTAGCAGGGGTCCACTTTATGTGGAAAACTGCCACAATAAAATACACATTTCAATTTAAATCAGAAAAATTGTAATCATGTGCAATTTTACAATGCAATCCTGTTTCAAGGAATCAACTCACAGTTTTGGTATCTCGGGTTTCTCCAGTTTTGTTAATATCTCATCTCGTAGCGAGGATGATGTTTTCTTTGTCATCTCTGAGGCAGAGTCTGACTGTGAAGCTGCCGTAGGCGAGGAACTGACAGAGGGCGTTGAGCCGCCCAATTTGAACTTGAGTTTTGGCACAAAAGGTTCTTCCTTCCCCTGGGGAGATTTGAAAAAAAAAATGGAATGGAATTCTACTGTTACCTGTTGCCACCATTCTTAAGTCGCCAGTAATATTTTGTGCATAGATTTTTCATAATGCTGGTAATTAACTTAAAGGAACATAAAAATTATGAAGTCCTAAATTGGATAGTTGGATGTTTGATAAGTTAAAAATAACTGGCATCATAGGTTTACTTTTATAAATGTGTTCCTCAGAAATAGAAAGTTAATGCTATTCGCTATCGACACCAATGCAGTTTTGAGAACATGTTCATTAAAAACAAATTCACTACAGCTGGTGATGTACACTGAGTTAAATCTCACTCTCTCACCTTATTGTCTTCCTCTCTGGATTTCTCCTCCTTTCTCTTTTCTTTCTCTTTGTCCTTGTGCCTTTCTTTATCCTTCTTTCTCTCCTTTTCTTCTTTTCTCTTTTCTTTCTTTTCACTCTTCTCTCTATCTCTGTCCTTGTCCTTTTCTTTCTTCTTCTTTTTCTTCTTGTCCTTATCTTTCCTGTCCTTTTTCTCCTTTTTGTGTGACTTCTCTTTATCCTGAAATAAATTATACTGTTACAGATGATATAATTTTACATTTTTTTAGGTGTCAAATCATCTTAATCAAAATAATTACATTAAAATTTCCAGAAAAAAAGCCCAAATCATGCATTTTCCTTGTCAACTCCATGCTTTTAATTCCAAATTTAAACAAATTTTTTCAAGATAACAAAAGATATCTGCATACTGCATCAAAATATTCCCAAACACTTTAAGACCGAAGTCAAAAGAGTACACAATCAATGATTTGTCCAATAAACTCACATCTGAATAACTGTCTTTGTTAATAAAAAAATGTACAGTCAGCCAGAAAGTTCTCAGTTTATACATTCACAGTACAGCAGCCTGACAGCAACCCTAGTGCCTTACCTTTATTTTCCCACCCTCCAGTTTAATAGGCTTAATCTTGAGAGTGGAATCTTCTGTCCCGCTGACCCTCTGTATGGTCAGTTTGGTTGGAGACGGGTAGTTAAACTCTGAGCTAGACGCTTGACCCATGACGGCTGTGTCCGAGGCCTGAGGCTGCTGAGGTGGCAGAGTCTTGACCACGCTGGGTTCTAAAGATGGCGACCTCATGGGAGAGGATGAAAACGACGAGTGGACAGAAGGTGACCTACTGATTAAATCTTTTAATGGGAGTTTGATTCCCAGCCCCTGTCCAGTCAGGGGAGACCCCGGAGTTGCTGAGGAACTGTCTTCTTTAACGCCACTGGATTTTTGCTTTAATTTCTTTTTTAGTTTCTTTTTGATGTCTGAGTCTTTAGATTTTTCTTTCTTTTCCTTGCTTTTGTCCTTATCTTTGTTGCCCAGAGATTTGTCTTTTTTCTTCTTAATTTTGGTCCCAGTTTCTCCAGATGTAATAGTCAGTGTAGGAACCTTGGGAGCCTCAGCTGGTTTATCATCAAATTCAAATGCATAGGGATCTTTTGTAACTTTTTCTTTCTCCTTAACTTTTTCTTTCTCTTTTTCCTTTAATTTCTCCTTCTCTTTTTCCTTATCTTTCTTAGCTACTTCCTGTTCATGTTCCATATTAGCTCTGCGAATCACCGCATCTATAGAATCGTCAACAGAAGTCCGCCATGTTGGCACTGGTGGCGGTTGTGTCTCTTGATCTGATTGGTCAGATTTATCAGCTTCTGCCATTGTTCTCTTAATAGCTGCATCAATACTGTCATCGTAATTTTGAAGCCGTGCTCTTTTTGCAACGTTAACATCCTCATCAATGACTAACATTTCAGGTTCAGGGGAATCCTCCCTAGGGGGCAGTGGTGAGCTGCTTGCTATTGGTGCTGTCTTGGTAGTTTCAGTAAGCGCTTTGGCCAGATGAGAAGACTTTGAAGCAGCTGCACTACCAGGGGAAGAGGGCGTCGTCTTCTTACTTTTACCTTCTCCCTTTGGACTTTTAGCCCTCACGGGAGATTTTGATCGAGATGGAGACTTTGGAGGCTTAGCAGTTTTGGAACTCAACATAGCCTTAACAACTTCTGAAGGTTTGGGGGTGAGTGGTGATTTCGGCACATTAGGTGGTGGTGGTGTTGGTGAAGGAAGTGGTGCTGTCGGAACAGGAGAAGGTGGTGCTGCTTTTGTCACCACCACAGGTGGTGCTGATGGTGCTAATGGCACCACTGGGGAAGTAAGTGGTTTCATCAATAAACTGGATTCAGGTTTGGAGGGTGTGGTAACTTCATTCTGGACCTTCTCTGCTGGAGCCTTCTCTGGGGTGGTCTCCATTTTCTCTTCTTTTCTCAGCGGCTGTGATTTGATTGGTTGTTTCTGAGGCGCTGGTGGAGTACGAGCATCTGGTAGTTTTCCATGCCGCATAGGAGAAATGAGTCCCTGGTCTGTCATGATGACATTTTTTATTTCATATCGAGAACCAAGCACTTCATCTGCCAGTCTGAAACAGGAAACAAATGATGTTTTTTTTTTACAAACCTCTAAATCATCAGATTAATTTGACAATTGTTATTTCTATTTAAATTTATCAATTATATGAAAAGTTCTTACTATTTGTGATACAACATGAGTATTGAACCTTTAAAATAAAGGAGATGATAAAACTACCTTTGTTTCTTTGCTGGCTGTTCTGCAGTAGGACTGGTCAACATTCTCTTCAATGTGTCTGAGCCAGCACTGCCATCTGGTGGCAAAACTTCACCATTCTGCTCACCAGGGGGAGGCACCTTCTTGGTGGGGGTCTGTGCAGGCTCTTCAAATTCTAATGCAAAAAGTTATGGATAATTCAATGATCATCTCTGTAAAAGGTATTAATAATTTTTGACTCCCATGACCATAAGATGATATCAAAGAAAAAAGTTTAAGAAATGACAACAATGAAAATCTAAAAATTCAAACCTTCAGTTAGAAATCTAAGCAACTTATACATAATATGGAGGCAAAAGTCTAATCATGAAAAGCCGTTCAACTCACCCTCCATGTCAGGATACATCAGCGGCAGGTGGTCATCAATCGCTTCATCCCTGTTCTGCACTTGTTGACTCTTCCGCGGAGGAAACTGGAGCCTGTTTTCTTTGGGAGCAGGGAATGCTGGGATGTCATGTGCGAATACTGGTAGGTCCACATTGTTCACATACTCGTCAAGCTCACCCAGGACAATGCCAAGGTCACGGAATGCAAGGCCAAGGTCATCCAAGTTGGGTTCTGTTCTTCCAACTATAGTTGTGACAAGACCAGTATTATTACCTCAGAGTTATTATTGGGAAAAATAAGTAAAACAACATGACAATCACATACAAATGTAACCTTCTCCATCTTTTGTAAGCTGTACAATATTATATTACTTACACAAGAGAAGACTTGTTACTGGATTGGAGAAATGATCTAATTAATAAATAATTCATTATATAATTGAATAAACATTTCTTAATCTGCAATGTCTTCGACAGTTTATATACCAAAAAGACTTAAAATGTGTAAAAACAAGTCCTGTTCTCAGTGTCATGAAAGCTCCCTCCCACACCCCACTTACACTATGCAGAGTACCTGTGTACCATCCTCACCCCTTAAAGCACCCCCCTCCCAACCCTAAGTACCCCACCAACACCTTACCCACACCCCACTTACACTATGCAAAGTACCTGTGTACCATCCTTACCCCTTAAAACACCCCCCTCCCAACCCTAAGTACCCCACCAACACCTTAACCACACCCCACTTACACTGCTCAGAGTATCTATGTGTAGTCCTTCCCACTTGCAGCAGGTGTCTCTCCAGCAGATCTGTCAGCAGCTCTAGAGGACTGGACTGGATGGAGTTCCAACCCATGTTCTGGCAGATCTGAGCCACGGCAACCTTCAACACACTGCGAGAATACTGGGCTGCCATGATTGGATGGACACTAGTTCACAATATCTTACTTAGTTTTTTTGAGTGGTGGTCACATAATCACATCTTAAAGTTCAATTTTCATTCTATTTGCATTTCATTTTCTTTTACAGACATGAGATTGCCCTTTGTTGCAACTTAGTTTGGACTTTCAAGCCATCCGTCTTGTTTCTTCTTTTCACTAAAATGATAAGTTAAAGAAATTGTTTATTTTAAATTTGTGGTCTTCATATTGCTAGTATTTAAATTAGATTAACTACTAGTAGCTGTAAATGGTTATAGTCACTTATTGGGTCTAGGGTAAAATCCATAAGAGAATGCAGACAAAAATCTGCACGTAGCTGGGGTCTGATAATTAGCAAATTTTGGTTGTATGGGAAAACACTGAACTGGTTTGAATGAGAGAGAGAGAGAGAGAGAGAGAGAGAGAGAGAGAGAGAGAGAGAGAGAGAGGACTCAGCGTTTAAGGGATGTCTATGTGTCAATCAGTCTGCAAAGTGAGGTAATTATAACTGAACTCAAGTATGCACTTTACACAAGCCATACAAATATAAATGAACACTTATAATTTAGATAGTCTTTCTACTTGTACCTACCGGAAGTTGATGTAGCCCGCCATTGCGGCACCTGCGCATTTAAAGCTTACCAAGGAATTCTGGGATAGATTCTTCTCGAGTGCAAGTTTGTCGCTGTAAAGGTGATAAACCTCAGGTGTCGGCAAATTCAAACGGTGAAAGGTCGATTTATCTCGGTGAGTTTTGTTATATGCCCTCAGTTCTTATCAGTGCTTTATTTTTCATAAGATTTACAAATAACCGACATCGGTTGAAAGCGTCTAGTTGCTATGGCCAAAATGTAATATTGACAAGACAAACCGGCATTTGAACTTTCGTCTTCTTGAACTTGAGTTTAGAACAAATTCTTAAGACAAATATTTCTTAGTGAAATGGTGTAGCTAAAGCACCAACGTTCAAAACCAGTAACTCCCGATCACATTCTGTTAATGTTAGGGCAAGTTTTGAACTTCACAGTTTAAGTACGTCTATTTACTGTATATATGTTGGATTTTTTTTCATATAGCCCCGATTGAAAGTAAGTGAAGCAAGTAACATTTGGAGTATAACCATCCTAATAAACTTCATATATTTTGTTTCATTTTCCCTATTTCAGGTTTATATCTCTGTCTGGACACAATACAAGAAAAGATTAAAAGTCACCCCTTCATAGGAAAAAGTAACTCAATAAATCCAGAAAGAGTATTAAAAGCCACAAGATGGGTTTTCTGGACAGGCTGGCTCAGATGCTGGGACTGAAGAAGAAGGATGCCAAAGTACTGGTTGTAGGGTTGGACAACAGTGGGAAGTCTACTATACTAAACCACCTGAAGCCCGAGGAAGCCAAGACGGACATTGTGGCCACAGTTGGCTTCAAACAGGAAGTATTCCAAACCAAAACCTTACAATTTACAGCCTTTGATATGTCTGGGCAGGGCAGGTATCGCAGTCTGTGGGAGCACTATTACAAAGAATGCAACGGGATTATATTTGTGATTGACAGCAGTGATAAACTGAGAATGGTTGTCGCCAAGGACGAGTTGGACACATTGTTACAACATCCAGACATCAAAGATAAAAGGACTCCGATTTTGTTCTTTGCTAACAAGATGGACTTGCGTGATGCGCTGTCTAGTGTGAAATGTTCTCAGTTGCTGGGACTGGATATGGTAAAGGACAGAGCATGGCATATCTGTGCCAGTAATGCTATCAGTGGTGAGGGTTTAGCTGAAGGGATAGACTGGCTGACGGAACAACTTCAGAGCATGCTAAAAGGAAAGTAAATACAACAACAACGTAAAGATTTACTAGTATTTGACAATCGTGGGGTGGGATGTTTGAATCAAATAAAAATGAAACTCTGTGCTCGCAGAAATGAATAAGAAAACAGACCAGGTTTCTGTATTTTGATAAAAATGCCTGTGCGCCTATTTCAGAATTGCACAGAAACATACTTTATCCTTTGGCACAAAAGATCTGCAACAAAAAATATGAAAGTTAACAATTTTGAAGCAGGGACTTACAGAACTACTTACAAGTGCTTTCTGGGTATTCAAGAGAATGGTATAAAGTCTCTGGAGAATGATTGATTGACTTGCAGATGTTGCAGTAATACCAACATTGGGACCATTTGATATCGTCTGAATATTGTCAGAGTCTGACAGCAGATCTTGTCTTATCATTTGAATTGGTGAACCAATGCATTTCAGTTTTAGAATAATATATCTATACATTGAGCATTAATATTCATACTGAATGGCATTGTGTGAGGAGAAAGCATTTAAAGCTAAACTGTCCACTTCAAACTAATATAACATAAACCATGTTAAACTGTGGTCATGAGGTAACCCATCTTCACATGAGAGCATAATATAGACCAGCTCTTAAATATGGTGTTTAAAATCTCGTATGAGAAGGTATGTAGAGGAAATAATTGTGTGAAGGCAGTTACTGAAGCAATTATTGATAGAATTCAATGCTAGAAAATGTCAATTGCTTCATTGCATGTTTGTGGTGAATGCAATATTGGTACCCAGCACTACCTGGTTATATTCTTGGGGGAATCATTTCCTTCATATCTCATGCAATTGTAAATTAACACATTTTATTAAGACTGTATTCATGACCTCATTTCTTGTGCTGTAGTAGTAGAAGCATGAAAGTGTGGCACCTATCCCTCCCTCCCCCTAGTCACCAGCGTCCCAGTCTTAATGGTTTGATATTTATAACATTCTTTTACTCTTTATAAGCACTTTTGTAAAATTTCTTTCTTACCTTGAAATATTTATTTTATAGTTTTAATGTAAATTAATATAATTAATTAGTTGAGGCATTGTCTCACATGTTAATAATCAATATTTCACACTGGTCACAGGCATTAAGTCAACATTCCTGTAGTTTCCTCCTCTACTGGGGCTCAAGTGTTTGACCACAATTACAGGTTAAAGATTAGTGGTACATGTGTCCAGAGAGGTCAGTCAGTTACTGCCCACCTAGGAATGGGAATAGCCGTCCAGATAACTTTGTCCTTAGAGTTTTATTTTTATATATAACAGGGATGTTATCACATTGAAAATCTGGGAATGTGATGAAAAATTCCCCAGCTATGAGTGGGTCACATCACCAGTTCAGATTATTTATGAATTTTAACTTAGGTAGCAGGAATTAATACAATATGGAATGAGGAAGCCAATAATAAAACTTTTTGTTTACTAAACTATCTTTTATAACTTAGATGGAAAATAGATTTTGAAAATCATAATAAATGGATCTTAAATTTTTCTTCAGCCATTTTGTTTCGTTTTGTTGTTACCTTCAGGCTTAAGTCCTTAAAGCAGGACTCTGATGCAATAAATCATAAATAATGAAATAATAATCTTCAAACTAATAAAAATATTTTATCAATCATTCATCAAAGAAAATTAAGACAAATCCAGAAGTGTTGTAGAAAACTTATCTTTATTGTGTTACAAAGTCTCTCACTACATCTCTGGTTCTCACAGGTTCACCCTAGAATATACACTACTGAACTACGCTACTATACAGTGCAGGCAACTGTGTATATATGTATACAGTGTAGAGTGCAGGACACTCAGTGGACACTCAGCTAGAGTCCATGGTATATACACAACACCCCTCATCAGGTTAATGCTCTGGGTTTTTTACACTATACATTTGATGTTGGGCCAACTTGTTAAAATAATGTTTATTCTTCTTTAATTTGAAGACACCTGGTTTAAATGTGTAATGATGTTAATTTAGACATTAATTTAGACCACAATGCAAGCTCTTTGACACCACATTTGGACACATGCCCTGGATGGTGTAATTATCTATATACTGATATTTTAGTACAAGTTTCTTTGTCCTAATTTTTATTAGAGAGTACATGTACTTAACAAAAATGTGACACATTCTAATTATGATATTTGGCAATTATTTTTCTCTATTATCATGATATGTAAGTGACGTAAAAATAATTTTAAGCTGGTGAAATGATGTGATAGACTTGTCAGTACTAATTGTGTAATGCAGATTGTGACTCCCACACTATAATAAGCAGTGAATGTAAAATTCAGGAAAACTGGGTGATTTTCACAGTACACCAATAGTGTTAAAAATGTGAAGACTTCTCAAAAGTCAAAAATACTTGTAGAATAAAGATTTGTGATATTCTCACTGATATTTCTTTGCCCTAGTCTGAATTTTTTGCAATATATACATTCAGACAAAAACGCAATGATTATGTATATGAAAAAATTGAAAAACCGAACTCTGTGATAAAAAATGGGCAGCTAAATTCAAAGCAATCAGCTGGTGCCACAAATTTCATGACATTATATATATATAATTAATAGATGTAAAATTCTATATATGAAAACATCATGCACTATATTTACATTATCACTGTGTAAACTAAAAGGGTGTGGCTTTGTATAGAAAATATACTTTAGTATTCCTCCACATTGCATATCACATGCAGGTCTGCATAATACACTTTCAGCTTTCATAATTAATTACATATTAAAAGTTAAATGACAATTATTCTCCTATTCTGCTACATAGTGAGAACCTCTCACAAATTTCTGCATCTTTTAAATATATTAATAATATTTTACATTTGTTCCTGCTTACTTGTTGAGATTATGCTGTTCAGCTCAGAAAGCTGATATAAACTGGCGTACAATAGAGGGTGCTACGTACATCCCCCCCCCCCGGTCTCTTATCTTTGATTATGAACCATTAAGTTAAATACTGAGAAGAAAACTACTCTTCTCCTTTGATATTTCAATCCCTACTTTTAACTATTCCATTTGTTAACTGGAATATAAAATAAGTGATTTCAATATATGTTCCCATTGACAAATAACATTATAACCTACAAAGGATCAAGTTTCACTATGAAATCATTCTTGTTCTCATGCATGACCACAATCTTTTAATGTAAAACTGTGTCATTTCGTAACAGTAAGCATATAAATAGTCTCTTGCCCTGGCATTCCTCTGATCAGATTACCACTCTCCTTTCAATTCCAGCCTAAATTCTCTCATTCTCTGTAGGGAATCTAGCTAAAATTATTTAATTACTGTTTGCACTATAACATCATTGAGCTTGTACATTTGGCAGCCACTGACTTTGGCAACGAGTTGGGCAAGCATACTTGAGAGAGTGACAGAAGAGAGGATTGTGGTTGTCCAACCAGTGATACTGCATTCTCCATTGGACTTTTTCTAATGGTTGTAAACAGACCAAGTTTGCCACTCTTAGAATTTTTTGCAACCTCGTCCTTTTATGTTATATCCACTGCAGATTAAGCTCTGTTCATAGGGCAACAAAGTGGTGAAATAATCCTCCCTCAGGTTTTTCACTTTGCTGAGGTCACGGAATCCAGCCTGAGAAATGGCAGTCAAACTGAGCTGTAAAACAGCTGTCATCTTTATGAATTGCATAACAAAGGTAGCTGTGACATCCACAGGGAGCAGAACTATCTGTGTTATTGCTCTATGGAGTCATCACATGTGAAGCCTATTTTCTGTTTTCATTTTGTATATATACTTTTGCTGCCGTCATCTTCCACAGTCTGCCATGCCTGGGGTAACCCCACCGCTCCAAAACAATTCTATGGATATATTTGTGCCACACTTCCAAACTTCACAGCTTATCCAGCCAATGAAACAATATTCATGTCTGGTAAATGCTTCCATCTCTGGTGATATTAAGTCTTTTTTGAAGACTTTACTGTCCAGTCCTTTACAAGTGAGATGTAGTTATCAATAATATATCCATATTCTGGTAGCAAACAGAAATGAATTTTGACCTAGATATGATAACATCTACCCCTCAATAATTAGGGTGTGGCCTCATGTCGGAGTAATCATAGAAGTAGTCCTGTCTTTCCTGCATTCGTCGCTGTATCTGAGGAGAGCTGTGGCTGATTGGTCCGTTAGTCAAGGGGGAGGGGTTAGGCTGGCCATGTGGGCTGTGTGGGGATATAATCCGTCCTGGGGAAGACCCACGTTCTGAAATGATAGTGTTTCAAATATTAACAGTGTTTTTTCTCTTTTATTTTCTTTTTAAATTTTGTTACTTGGCAAAGAAATGGTAAAGATAAAACACAAGCTTAGCACAACTATGGATTTTAACCTTCATGTTCACAAAGCTGACTGAAAAACCTGGGTATCTTGAAACAATAAATTTAACAACTCTAAAACAAAAAATAAAGAACATTCAAGGGGGAAAAACATTTATCTGCAATTTCAATATTCCAGTGAAAGCATTATATCAGTCAAAAAGACAGCATAAAATCACAAGATAATATCAACAGAAACTAAGATGTAAGATTGTTTTTTAGCTATACCTATGGTGTATGGCAAAACGACTTGGAAAGAGAGAAAAGTGACACAAGGACTAACAACAAACATTAAGCAATATCCAAGAAAAGGACACCAAAAAGAGAAGCAACAGGAAAAGATCTGAAACTGTATAATCTGGACGAGTGTCCATAAGACATTATGAGTTCAAGTTATCTACCACTAGGAAGTAATACACAGCTTCTGTCTGGAACATTTGCTGCACCTAATACAGAGAGCAAGGTAAGAAAATCTTCTCAGGCAACAGAAAACAAGAACATCAGATGAAAAGTTGAAAAAACTGCATCTAGAGTAACAATGTAAAATCATGCATTTCTTATCAAAAACTTTAATAACATCAACCATTTAACACTAAAGCATGTCATAATTCATTCCAATGCTGAAAGTTGTAAAATTGAAGTAAGCTCCTTGTTCAATATAACTTCCGCTGAGAGGTCAAAGGCCAGAAGCAGTCCAGGTTGACATGAACTCCATCAAATAAATAGGTCATCATGACCTATATATTTCAAAACAGGTCAAAGTGACCCACATATCATTAAAGAAGTCAAAGAGATCTAAACATGACTAAGCTAAGCCTAGGATATAGCGTTCTATAGATGTTAACAAGACTACTTCAGACAGGTAGAAGCAATGTATAAAGCCATGCAGTTGATCTAGACCAAATAAATGGGCAGTAGCAGACGGCTTTCAAGTTCACCTGGAGTGAGGCAGCTTAGGTCACAAGGTCAAGGTCAAGGTCGCATTTTACTGGAGAGAGATCACAGGATAGCTATGGAGAATGCCACACTTGGGCGGCCAGCGCAACCTTTTAGGACATTCATACAAGCAGCGCCACCTGGCGGAGAATGATGGTTTACTGGGAGGTTGGAAGATTCACACCCTGCTTTAGAAGCATCTAGTAGTGGTGGGAGAGAGGGACGGAAAGAGAAATAAAACGCAAGAGATAAAATATTAGTGCCTTTCACATGTTAGTGTTAGAATTAGTGAAGTGCAATAATTTAATCCATAATTCAATGTCCTGCAGTAAAAAGTAGAAAGGGCTAAAATAAGTTAAGCAACAGATTAAATCATTCAATGAACAGGTTACTGTAGCAATTTTGCCTCTTTTTAATTATAAGTCAAAACTTTTTCTCACTTAAAATCATGAGAAAGAAACAACTAATTGAGTTGTGCCCAATATTGCATAATCAGCAACAGACTGATGACCAGCAGGAATGAAGGATCTCTGTGTTTTTACTGCAACTCTGAACAAGACAAATTCATAAATTCCACTTACCAAAATTAGGAGGTGGTTTTCCCGTCCTTTTGACCAGTAGTCTGACCCGTGACCCTCCACTCTGTATGATATCAATGGCAGCAGCATGGGTCATTCCCTGCGTCCTGATATTGTTGATTTCTAAGATCTGATCTCCAACCTGAAGAGGGAGAAAAGGAAGTTTCAGTTTCCATGGTAACTAATGTAACCACATTAAAACACGTTGCTACAGCTGAACATTATTGAAGTAAGTCCAAAACATCTCAATAAATAGAACAATGCATGGTGCCTACAGGCAAGACATTTCAAGTTGAAATCAGAATATACATTATCCCTGATTAAGAGAATCTCTAAACATACTAAATCAGATAGTAGACTATCCAGATTAATAAACAAGCTGTCTGTTTTGCTTGAACTTCACTATGAATCTGGAAAACGATTCCAAATCCACAAGATTTTCAAGATAAGTTTTTGTGTATTTCTGTTTATTTGAACTGAATGGTACTATCACTCTAGAAGCAACAAAAAGCACAGAATCTACTGACGAGAGCTAATTATTCCGTCCACCCACCCGCAATCTTCCATCCATGTTGGCTGCTCCTCCATCAGCAATCCTGAGCACGTACAGAGGCATGTTGTTGAACTCCTGACCTCCGCGTATTGAGAAGCCAAACCCGCGAGATCCTCGGTGAAGTTCTACCACGTAGATCTGGTCTTCTCCCTGGTCACCTCCCTGTACAGACAATATAGATACATTGTACAATAATATAACAATATAGATACATTGTACATTATATAACAATATAGATACATTATACAATAATATAACAATATAGATACATTGTACAATAATATAACAATATAGATACATTGTAGCTGATAGTAAAAATACAGATCTATACATTGTAGCTGAAAGTAAGAATACAGATCTATACATTGTAGCTGATAGTAAGAATATTATGAATACAATTTTTCAATGTACAATCTGATATAATGACTAGTAGTCCTCAAGAGAGACTGCTGAACTTTTATTTCTATATCAATATGGCAGGCTGCAGTTTAAAGTTGAGGCAAACATCTCAAGTATTTGAAGTGCTATTTCACAACTTCTCCAAGAGAGTAAGAAAATAGTCCATGCATGCAAATAGTCATTCCCAGTCTCCTGTTTACATAAAGGTCTAACTTAAGCCGGTGCATAGAAAAATGGGGTGCAAAAAGGTCAGGGGTCAAAACACCTGTTCCCTGGACAGTGTATTTCAGAAAGTATAAAAATGAGTAATGACAAATAAATTATGCTCTTAAAGACTATTTTGGGAAATATATAAATAGTTATAAATGACAGCACATGGGTATATTAAAAGGCTCTCATCTGTAAAAATCTCTATATGTCATCCTTTACTCGAAATCTTTACTCGAAATGTTTTAAAATCTGATCAAAATCGGTTTTTCAAGAGAACCACTGCAAAAGCTGGGTTGTGCAAGAACAAATACAGATCTTCAAGACAAGAAACAATACAACAGACTGGAAGGGTTTCCAACAAACTGACAATTTTATCAGGTAGAGGCAGGAGCTTGCTGACTTGAGACATAAAACATGTTTGATTCTTGTTTCAATAAAGCTCAGCACACACAAGCAGCAAGCCGAGTTATCTGTCATATAAGACCTACAGCTCAGCTGGTATCTCTCCTGTGATCTGGCTTTCTCAAGACAAACATGTAAACAGTGTGCATTAGGGTTAAGGTTGGATAGTATGCAAGCACAGGGTATTGCCCTCACCCCCAACCAACCCACGTGGTAGTGAAAAGGTTAACAGTTTCTAAAGAGACATGTTTCAACCTGTGAGGCATTACATTTTCAGCCTTTATCACATGACTGCCTTTTCCATGGAAGCTTTGTCTCACAGATATAAACAGGTTTCATCTCTTAAGATATGATTTACCTTTCTACCACTTTTATAGGAGAGACAATGAAAAACCCAATCACACCACAGAGATAAAACAGTTCACCATGGCTCATGTTACTACAAGTATATCTCCTTGCAACCACAGGGAAATAGTTTGGGGACATTTACACACAATTCCAAACAACCTCAAACTCTGATATAATTTCCAAGCTTACATGGCCCTTGTATTTTTACTCTGATACAATTTAAGTAATACAATAGGTGTATTTTTAGATGCTACATAAAAACATTTCACAGGAGTTCCTTGAGGTTTTGAGGACTCCAGCACAAAACATATTGATTGAAAGAAAAAAAAAACAAAAATTTGGATGCACTGGAACCCTATTACCTATATCAAATTTGGAAGTGTGTACAGCTATAACATATTTGAATGCTTTGAAATTGTGTGTAAACCTGTATAAAATTTGGAAGAATTGGAATTGTGTGTACAAATAAAATTTTTTGAATACATTGGAATTGTGTGTAGACCAATGAGTAATAGCCTGCCCACCACCTGCATGACTTACAAATCTAGCCACAGGAGGTTCACTGAAGACACTGTCCTCAGACTCAGACTACAAGGTGGAAAGAAAAACATTCCAACTCAATGTACAACAATGCAAAGCAATAAAACAAATTGATAATTCTTTAAGAATGTCTTAACAAAATGTTTATGCAATAATTAATGAACCAAAAATTAGACCAGAAAAGGACCAAAATGTCAAATTGCATGCACCATGCAACTCAGATGCAGTTAATAATGCAAATTAACTTCAATAATTTTTTTTATCAGTCTCTACAGACCTGTGACCCAGTTTGCATTCTCCTCCTGGCCAGCTCTTTATGCCTCTCTAAGATCTGCTGATTGACAGGGTCCCCCCTTCTCATAGAATCTGTCTCCCCCATAGCTGGGTATGCCATGGCATTGATCATGGAGCTCTGGGACCCCTGCACAAGAAATGTGCAACCTGTACACATCTAAGCAGACATATCAAATAAATCTACACTACTGCTTTAACCTAAAGAAGCAAAATTATCCCCATAACTTTCTTAGAAGATCTGAATTCAGATTGTACAAATAGAAAGACCAGAGAAGCAAATGAATAAAATAAATGTATGTTAGACTGATGATGAATGGTTTATAAAATATTTTTTAATGACTAGCAATAAAAGACATACAGACAAAACATCATAAACTTCTGAGAGTTGCAGTTATTCTTACCCTTTGTGAAGATACTGGAGTATTGGTAGGGTTTTCTTCTGAAAAACAAAAGATAACAGATAATCAATTTTTCCCTTCAAGAGTGTTCCAAATCAATAAATACTTGTTGAAGAATGCCAAACCAGATTCTGTTTCAAACGTATCCAATGACCGTCACCATTCCCAGCATCTGACCATACAAATACATGCCTACAATATTTCTGTGAACATCATCTTATCTTTCAATTTTAAAATATACAAAGGAAAAGAAATAAAAAAATTCTGATGCCAACTCCCTTCTTTGGTTTTCATGAACTCGAAACCATAGCAATTCACTACCAACTGTCAACAATGTTAACTGGAAAAGAGAACCAAAAATTTGGGAAGTTTACCTGGAGGTGGGCCGACCGTGAGGGTGACACACATGCCGGAGTCTTTTATAACATTCACTATTTCCTCGTGATTCATGCGACTGATGTCAATTCCGTTGACGGCAAGAATGCGATCCCCGACACGTAACATCCCACACCTTTCAGCAGGACTGTTCTCTATTATACGACCTGAGGAAAACAAAACACCGTCCGTCACCATATAAAACCATGCTATATAAAAACACATATCCCTTACAGCACAGTGTCTAGTTTTCACAGAAGGTATTGAGGGTAATTTCATGATAAGAGGTTTAGGTATCAAACAGTATTTTAATTAGTTCCTTAGATGATACCAGGCAGTGAAAACTAGACAAAATATAGTCCATTAAAAAAAAGAAACAAAACAAAAAGAACACATTTACTACTTATAAATACAGATATAAATATGAGTTTACCTTTCATGGGTTAATAGCCATTGAATGAAAAGCTTTCTGTGGCACTGGCAGACTTTCTCATTTTTGGGAGAAATCCGCCAAGTTTGCATATTAAAATATGCATTAATTTAGCTCCATAGAAATTAAAAGTCCTCCCGCACTTCAAGCCAGTTTAATAGCCTTTTAAATCCCACAAGCTTATTTGCAAAGTACATATAATGCCCCTGAGTAACCTTATCTCAAACCTAAATAGAATCTTAACATTTCTAGAGCATGCCTCAACAAAGTGGTACTTGGAAAAAATCCTTAATTGGATAAAAATCTGGCAGCAAAGTATCTAGAGGTTCTTCTAAACTAAAACAACGCACAGGGACAAATAACGTGGAGCTACCTGGTGTCTAAATTTCATGTCACAAATCAGCACTGATATTTCACAAACTATAGCATGCAACTTATAAAATATACAAAAACTAAGGTTTAACCTATTTCGCATGCACTAGCGCAACACAGAGAAAGAAGAAAAAACCAGCATTAGGGTGAAATTTTACACTTTTTTAAACAACCATTGAAGTCAAACAAAGAACAACTTATTCAGTTAATAGTGTAAGGATATTTTTCTATTATTTCTTATTTCAAAAATCTTAATATATGTAGATTATTAAGCTGGTTTTTCTTCTCTTGCTCTGTATACAAGCTAAACATAAATTGAGTGTCTTGGCAACAAAGCTGCTTGAAGTCTTGAGAAATAAGTAAGCTCAAAGAAATTATGTTGTTTAGTGACAAAATTTAGAACAGAAACTTTTCATGGAGAATATAATCTTAAAATGTGCAATCTTACCTGTTCTGTAGTAATCAAAGAAGTGACTAGTAAATTTCCCCAAAGTTTTAGGTTGTTAAATGATATCAATGTCTCAATAATAAATGGCATTTCATGAAATAAATTTGAATTGTAATTTTACATTTTAGTTTTGAAATATGTTGTTGAATTAGTTTTTCTAAGCTCACTTTGTTCTTTGACATCAGCCAGTCTGGTATAAACACAGATGATCCAAGTCATTTTCTCTCCACGTGCAAAAACTTCATTGCATTTACAAACAGAAAATTACAGGATTTGCAAAATATTTTCCCCTTTTCATCCATTCTTATACTATCATCTTTATCTCTTAATTTTAAAACCCTCGGACTTGAAAAAACATTCACCAATTTATTCAAATCTGAAAACCTCAGCAAACAATTTTGATGCCTTCTTTCAAAACCAATTTGTGTTGAGGGTAAAGTGTGGATTTTTCAGTAACACATAAACATGATAGCTTATGCATACAGAGAGAAATTATCATCCTGGATCAACTCATGACCTTCCACCATGCTATGAAGAATTAGTAAAAAACCATATTAGAGACAAAAGATGTCAAAATAAACAGTAGGGAGACAGGCAAGGTTAAAATATTCCAATCTAGTTATTTCTCGTCCCCGTTCCTCACCAATTCGCGGAGGTGGATGTGGTTTAGTACTGCCATCCTTGTTGGTATCGTTAACTTTATCCTGGCCTGAAAGTATTGTAGTATTCACAATGTTGTATGCCATAACTGAAGATAATCAAATCTACTGACCTCACTCTGATCCAACTTGTCCGTTTAATTATTTTTGACCATATTTTCCATTTGGTTTCTATAATTTTTTCATTTTGCAAACAATTTCATTCAGAATATTTTGGCTTTTGCTGTTTTTTCTTTTTTTTTTTTCCTAAATCTTATTGTTCCAACAAGCAAATTGATGTTTGCAGTCCAATTCATCATATATCCATACCAAATCTCTACATTGAGTACTATGTTAAAAGACTACAAGTCAGTCAATTTTCTTCCATGACCACACAAGTCATATTTTATGTTCTAGTTCTAGCTGAAGTTAGCAGAGTGAGACCAGTATAAACTAATACTACCAAACAGTAACAGAATCCAACCACTGCAATCAAACTCTGCCCAGCCACGTGATTGTGCGGGAATCAAAATATGGGATGAATCAAAGATATATAATAGAATATATATATAATCATAAATATGTGATACAATAAATAAATCATGTCATGCAAACTATAATTGCTTTTTATACTGAAGGATAATAACTGCCAGTTGAATAGTAACAACTATAAGAATATGCTTAAAAGATGTGTAATGAATATATATATATATATATATATATATATATATATATATATATAATAGGGTATTGTACCCACGTAGAAGATTATACAAACTTTTTGATTCAATTTTGCCAAATTACAAGAAATAAAGATATATAGATAGCTGTGGCTGAGGGTGGAGGGTTGTGGGGTGCAGCAAGATTGGTGGTTATTATATGGGTTTGCCTGAAAGTGGATTCAGTCAACCACCATTTAAAAGGTTACCTGGAATTTAGCTGACCTTACTGAAATAAACTCCCCTGCTTCAAGTCTCTCTAAACAAACCCCATGCTTCACCCACCTATTGAAAACTACCCATTTTGTCTTCTTAATCCATCACCAGAAGAGACAAACACCCCAGAAAAAACACCTTCAGTCTTTTATAACTAAATTAAACCCACTTCACCAACTATACCCATAACTATGCTACTGTTACGACAATAGGGTCTCAACTTCATAATTTAATAAAACTTTGCAGATATTTTTATACGATAATGGTACCCCTCCCCCTCTCTTCTCCTTGTGTGCTTAAACTTCAGTTTTCAATGCCTTAAAAACTTTTCTAATCTGTAAAAAGTGGATGTTGTATATGTTATTTCCTGCTTGGTAATTTCATCACAGCATCTAATAAAAGCTTTATGCAGTGTGAACAGCAGGCATATACATTTAAGTGATGGCTGTTATACATTTTGTTATAAACTGCAATGCATTTTACACCAAAGCAGCAACCACTTAACATTTTTGCTCAACATCCATCTTCCTTCCCACCTTACTAATCCAAGAAATATTTTTCAAAATTCCCAAAAGGCTTAAGATAACCAACCCATGTCTGACAATTCCAACATCAAAGGACTTTAAAAATACCGCCCCAACTTCCAATTTTACTTGCATTTTCTCCTCTTTGAAAATCTTTACAATAAACTTTATATTATGATGGCCAAAGAAAAGTAACAAACCCCCCTCTTCCTCCACTTACCTATGTTGCTGCCAGACTTTGTCACTGAAGAAATGATGACAAAGCCAAAGCCTTCGTTATCACGCCGTGTGACAGAGACGTTGTACGGGAATGTCGGCATGCCATCTGGCTGGCTCTGAAATGATGTGTCTGAAAGGCAGGAGAAAAGTTTTCTAAACACTGATGGCATTTTTGAAATTACTTTCATAAAATATTCAACTGTTTTCACAGGTTTCCGCGCGAAAGAAAAAATCGCTGTGCATGTGTAACTCCAGATATTCTTCACTTCTGGTAATGTCCTCCTTTTCCAGCTGTCCTAGTTGTGACATGGTGTGTAGATTGAGCTTCAAATGCACTCATTTTTGGACACCCTCAGTGTAGCTGCTCTCAAGGTAAGAGCTTCCGAAGCATATTGTATTTCTATGCTTTATAAGCTAATTTTTTCATAACCTCAGTCTCCTTCAAGTACTATACACACTATAAGCGTACTTGGATTTTTGTACAAATAAAATGCCTGATAAAGTGTCCAACATCTCTGTCCATAAAGTAAAGATCTCTGTGCGACAGTCTTGTCTCGAACTGAACCGTTATACCAAACTAACTAACCCTCCACCATTAGGCTTATCTGTGGCACATTTAACTACCGGTAGATAAAAAGAAATGAACTTTTTCTTTCAAACATTACAATGTTGTTTAATCAAGCTCACTTGATAGATCTCATTTTGATATCCTAAATCAATAAAACCTTGTTTAATTTGAACTCGGTATAAACCAAATTCCAAACAAAGCAGTTATTCGTCCAGCTTAGGGGTAAGAGTACTAGTTGATAGCAGCCAGGGGCAGTAAAAAAAACCAGTATTGTTGTTATCTTAAAATGAGCATTAATTCAAAATTGAATGGTGTACTATGAAACCTTTTAAATCCCTGTAACGGCCATCTGGGAGGATTTATGTGTAAACTAATGTAAACTGGGGATTACTTCCCCTCTCCCAATATGCTTATTTACTTTCAGTCCAAAGGAAAAAATACTTAAACAAGATAAACTATAATGACCTGTTTTAACACCAATTTTATGTACTTCTTACAACAACAATTATCTTTTGTGGTCAAAATGGCAAAGAGCTTGTCACCATGGAAACAAACGTTACAAGGCTGCAATCTGAGGGCTTTCAAAATTTTATCCTACAACTTTTCACAAATTATAATTCCTTAATAGAAATCAATTTATTTAATGGAAGTCAACAAATTTCCTTAACTCGTCTCCTTTTTTTTCTTTCATTTCAACCTGAAGTCTATCAAAATTCCTGCCAGTCTAACAAAAGTCATAACTCAAACAAGATGAGCAGATGATTACCAATGTACTCACCCCTACTACTGGGTATCCTCCTTCTGACCACTAACGTCACACACCCCTTCTGACCCGCGGCCCCCATCAGTTCTACCACCTTGTGGTGGGAGGCGTTAAGAACGGGTTGACCGTCCACAGTTACTATCTCGTCACCTGTCCGCAGTCGGCCGTCCATCTCAGAGGCTCCTCCTGGGACAATGTGACCAACTGACACCTGGTAGATAAAACAGGAATTATGTTTATGTAAAGAAACATTGCAAACTATTTTTCATCCATATAAAATTATTTTTAATTAATTAGATGCTGCATCTTAAACTTACAGAGGAAATCTCAAAATAAATACATTCTTTTTTTCCAGTAATACTATAACTGACCCCAACATTGCTAATGACAGAGGATTTAACACTGATTTCAAAAATATGTTCTGAATATTCAACACATTTTTTAACTTCAGCAAGAAGTTGCTTTGAATCTATCTGATGAACTATCAGCAATGAACTAAGTCAGAGAATAAACTTAGTAAGGTTACACTGCACTGTGAATACTGCAGTAAGCTTCTTTCTCTCTTATCTTACTAAAAGACAACGTTGCCACTTATTGGAACAGACGGTATAACAGTAAATAAACAATACAAGGGTGTGACAAATGTGCTGATTGTGTTTGCTGACATAAAACAAGACAAGCCACATCCTTACCTGTGAGCCCTCCTCAGTGCCACCTATGATCCTGAATCCAAACCCATTCTCGTGTTTCCTCAAGAACACCGTCATCTCCGCGTAGTCCTCAGGTCTTCCAGGCCCTCTGTGAGGCGGGGGTGGCTGAGAGCCACGGGATATGTTCCCCATCCCCGGGGAGGAAGCCCCTGGGGAGTACTGCCGTGCCATTGGGGGCATTCGTGCCGGCACTGGTTCTGCGTGCTCGAAGGAAGTGCTGCGATTTTTATTTGACCTTTGACCTGGCGACATCCCAGGATGATAGAGGGGGTCATGGGGTGCGTATCTGGACTGAGGTTGATGATATGATGCAGGTGCCTGCTGCAGATGATGGGGGTGAGGAGGGGGGTAATTCTGGGGGTAGTTCTGTGGGGAGGGGTGGTACCTGTCCCCAGGGTGATGGGGGAGAGGTGGAGGGGGGTACTTCCCATGCTGCTGAGGGGGGAAATGTTCATGTGGCCCTGAGTGAGAAGAAGATCTGCTGTGATAGCCACTGCTACCATGGTGGTTTGGTAGAGGTCCCAGGGGGGGTTCTGTGTGTTTGGGCTGCATATATCTAGATGCTGGGATAAAGTCTGGGGTGCCACTGATATTCAAGTGGTCATGTGTTGGGGTGCGACTCCTCATCTCTTGTGGGTTTGGCGTTTTAGACCTCTGATGGAGATGATCTGCGCCATGTTGTCGCCCCATGTGATCAGGACCTGGTGTGCGACTGCGATACTCTCTCCTGTTAGGCTCAGGTCCAAACCTTGCAAACTCGTGTTCCTCAAAAGCCCTGGGGTCTGGCCTGTACTGAGGGGGGTGGGGGTCCCTCCTGGGGTCATACCCCCCTGAATGATTCACCTCCGGCCTGTAAGAGTTCTCCAGCCCACCCCTGGGGTGCTGCCTGGGCATATCTGACTGCTCCTGGTCTGTGAAGGGTGGCCTGTTGTTTGGATAGTACCCCTGTCCTGCATTGAAGTACTCCCTGGAAGGACTCTGTCTCCCACTAATGGTCGACTGGTTGGGGTTGTCTGGGGTCGGGGTCTTGGCAGGGTCGTCAGCAGTTGGGCCACGGTCTGGTGTAGGAGTTCTACTTCTGTTGCTTACTTGGCTGTCGTTAAACAGATCTGAAGAGACAGAAATATACGGTTCAGTCACATGCTACTTTAAAGGCGACATGCATGTAAAGCTATATACAAATTAAGTTCTATTACTTCCATAGCTTCTTTGGCTGTCATTAAACTATGCTGAAACCAGAAATAAATTAGTAAATTAGTAAAGTTATTTTTCAGCAATGACAACAATCAGTTTATATTGGCACACATAAGGCAGCAGCAACTTAGACTGTTATTTTTAAAAAAATCTGGCAGCAGAAAAGACTCCTTGGCAAGGGTCTGGTATGTGTCTCTTCTCAATCACAAACCACGACCACAACTTGATTACAGCAGAAAATTTCAAGTTTTTAGTCCTCTCGGAAAATTCACCAGCAGGTTGTCCTTTCTTGGGTTCACACTATTACAGCACAAATCAGCGTTGTACTATATCTCCCCCGCCCTTCTGGATGGCTCCTAATGGCCGACATCATGGCAGCTTTCCCAAATTTATGCATCTAAATCGCACACTTAAAATGTGGCAAAGTACTACGCCATCACGGCCACGTGCAGTGTTACACACATTTATCAGGGGTTCAACAACATTCTCCTTTCCTGCTATTTAACTAAATGCTAGCAGCGAGAAATAAATATTTGGCTGAAAAACAAAAATCAGTCTGCAATGTGGTTTAGTAATTGTACAAATAAACACCACAGTTTAGGACAGGGACCTCGTTCCTCCACTGCTTTCATAACGCCCTGTTTTCAGTACAATTGTCTGAGAATAAGTTTCAATACTTGGAGAAATTTGGAGAAAAAAAAGATGTTTTTATTCAACTAGGGTGCAATTTTTCACTTGGATGCATCTTGATAACAGAATGGGTGCACTGCCACTAAAATATACAGACATCTAGAATTCAGATATATTTACAATGACACCTCTTTTGAGATGACACCAATATATATGTTGACACACATATAACAAAGAGTGATAACTTTAAAGATCTACTACAATTGTTCTGGGTCTCCATCGCTCTAATGTCAAATGTCTAGCGTAAATAGCATGTTTTTGGCACACGCTACCAAGAGAACCAATCTAGGGCTAATGTGTTCAGTCGTGGCAGCAGAAATTATTTCACGTAAAAGTTAAGAGCTGGTTCATTTAGCTAAAGGAGTCAATTTTCTCTCTCTAATTCACTGGAAAAACTTCATAATTCAATATTCTTGTGAAAACACACTAGCTGGGAGATATTTTCAGATGTTTATGAAAAGGCCTTGTCAAAAAATCAGTCAAAGGAATTGATTTCCATAACTAGCTGACAGACGAAAAGGCATCTCGAGGACCTGACAAACACTGTCGACTCTCTCTCTCTCTCTCTCTCTCTATCCCTTGCTCTCCCCCCCTCCTCCTTCCTTCTCTTTCCCATCCTCCTCCCTTTCTCTCTCTCTCTCTCACTCACTCACACACACAGCAATAAATCATCACCGTCTTCACCTACCTCTGAAGCCAACACAATCTAAAAGCCGCAAGGACATTTTTCTAAGATCCAAACAAAGAAACTGTCTCTCCTTTAACTTAAATGGCTCCTGCGTATCAGTAATCCAGCTCTCAATTTTTTCAAAGATGTCAACATTCTCAGACTGTAGCCTGAAGCCTTCACATTCCCCCAATGAAATATCTATGCAGCTGATCTATGGCCTGTGATAATTTTCCACACTGGTAATTTTGTAGATAAATCCCCCTGACATTCTATGATATTGAAACAGCCGTGCACATCAAAACTGACGTCTCCATTTTTGACGAAGTTGAAGTGATTATTTCAGACTGAGAGTATAAAATTCTTTCATGTGACTTCTTGTGTCACCAGTTGAGTGGTAATTTACAGGCAAACTAGTTTCAAAGCAATCTCCAGCAAATTTCCTCAGGAATCTTTTTATGAAAAAATAAATCCAGCATTGATTTAAAATTCCATGTGCATACAAATAAAATTCAAGACTCCTGCAAATATCCCCAAGAATTTTTAACATGAGAATGTTATAGCTACAAAATTTTAAAATGTTCAAAATGGGCAGACGACAATTTGACAGCAGCAGATGTCTTCATCATGTCCTGAGGCAGACTGCTACGTGTCCTGAGGATTTCTGCAGAAACAATAACTTGAAATGATACGCTGTCTAAATCAACGGTCAACATGAAGACACTGAGTCCTACACAATTTGTGCTATAAGACAAGTGTGGTACTGAAATTACTGATAAGATATCAATCTTGACATGTCAAATCCTAACGCCATTGTTTAGAGGAAGGGAGGGGGGGGGGGGGGGTTTGTAAGACATCCTTCAGCTCAGTCCCAGTCAGGATAAGATGCATATCTAGATATCTCAATAGAACCATGACTCCATAGTTCTCCATGCTCTGATAACTCTTATGACAAGCCTGACTTGAAGACTTCAATTAACATCTTATTCATCCTGATTCCTTAATGGATTCTTTCTCAACAGATTTGTAAGGGCAGTTTCCCCAAAATTCAAAATCAATGCAGTATGAACAAATGCAAATTAAGACTGCTCCCATAAAACTCCACATTATAACAGCTTTGCAAAATTCCTTTGACCATTAAAAACTTCACAGACTAAAGAACAGTGTCTTATTCCATGCCCAAGTCAAAATTCCATGCCTAAGTCAAATTAAACACAGTAACCCCTCTTTCCAGCCTGAGTCCCATACAAAAGATAGACTGTGTCCATGGAAAGGACACTACAACATCATCTCTGTCTTCTCTGGTCTAGAAACAGGAACAGGTTCCCCCTCTTTTCTCATTAAACCTGGACCTGGCTACATAGTAATGGCCTCGGTGCATGCTAGTTTGGATATATAGAAACTGGACAATTTATTTTTAATCTTTTCTTGGCTTTAACACAGGTCAGCAGTGTATACATGAATGATTAACACAGGGACAGGGAGGGCCATTAACTTAATTAGTTTTTTCATTTTAACTGATCAATCCTAAGAAGTTTTCCCCCTCCAGTCTTATATCAATATCCATAGTGACAAAGAAATATTGCCTGGTATAATATGTAGATACCATGACTGCTTTGCTGTATTCTATATTATATTAACATGCAATCAAAATGAGTAGTTTCAACCATTTTCATTTTAACGTTCTTCATACTTCACGACTCACATGATGGGCAGTTCTAAAAACTTGGAAGTTCTTTTTCTTTGCTGCCGCATAAAAAAACATGTAGCTTTTCTATGCTCTCTCTAGTGCATAAATTGTGTAAAACTGTGAGAACTTGTGGCCTTAATTCCACTTGCACATAGCCTGGAGAACATTGGGTTACATCTCCACTCTGACAGTCAACAAAATATTTCACATGACCCTGCAGGAAAATTACGCTTTTCCATTAAACATGAAATGTTTTACATAACCTGCCATCTTATTTTTTCCACCATCTCTATTTACTCCCAAATCAAAGGTCATAATGATTTTTAAACCCTTACCAGCCTTTAGACAGCAAACGTGTGCACTAACACACATACACTATTTGAACAACAGTTGAACTTCCAGTAAAATAGGCCTACCTGTAAAGCACTGAAGTTTACATATTCTGGCAGAAGTTCAACAACGTAGCAAACATGATTACCACTGAAAGGGGCAAATTCTTCGAACTGCCATTATGTTTTTAAATTTTTATAAAACAGCTTCACAGAAATCTGTCAAAATCTATTGCACTCTCTTCTTTCTCCTTGCCCTCCTTCTCTAACCCTACATTTAATGTAATTAAACCAAATCTGTCAACACTTTCATAATCATCTTAACATTTTTACCAAACCCATTACTGCACGCTTTTCACTCTGTTTTGGCAATTTACCTTATTTCTAGTAGCGACAGGGAGTCGCACAGTGAGCCACGTAACTAGTAGGCTTATCCCAATAGTACTAGGTGATATGTCATATATGAGAGGAAAACAACAACATTATCAAAGTCGGCTTACTCTACTTATAGACTATTATAAACAGTTCAAGACCCAAACATACCTCAAGTTGGAAGTTTTAAATCCTCCAAAACTGTTAACCTCGTTCCACTCTACCAAATCTCATCACTTTGTAGAGATGTCCCACTCTGATGTAGATCAAATATCTAGTATCATACTTCGACACTTCCAGGTAGACTTAACCCTAGTACACCTGTATACTCCAAGCTTCCACTTTGTTCCTCTATTTTATTACTTAGGGTTCATTCCCAATGTAACTCTCAATTCCCATGAATTCGTGAAATCACCAGCTTTTGTGTATTGTACTCAATCCCAGGAAAAAGGGGTGTTAATCTCTTAATCATATTACACTCAGCGCGAGTCCCTTCAGAGGTGAATCGATCTATGGAAAACAATATTTTTATTGGGAATGATCCCTTCACGTAGAAACCATACCTTGGCATCAAATGTCTCTCCCTTGTCATAAACAAGCAGATATTTGTAGTACAGTCACAAGTCTCTTTATAATCTTATTATTATGGCGGAGATACAGGTAGACCTTAAGCTATGAGCTCCCCCTCTTTAAATAGCGTCTTTCCTTCAACTGAGACCTAGCTCCAGGCAGATGTAGGCCCTCCTTTCACTGTCTAATGTTACTCTGTAGTGACATCTTTAAATTGTGTTTATAAAAGTGCGCAGCTAGTCTGATTCTACTGGGCGTGATGTAAGAAAACGGTCAACTCTATTCTTACAGTGCCAGTGTCATTTAAGGTCTTGCAAACATGTGATGTAAGAATTCAAATTTATGTAACCATGTAAATAAAAAAGTTCCCTGTATAGCAAAAATTCAAGTAGTCTATTTGTTAAGATAGACTTCTATAATTTTGACATATGGAGATATTTGTAGAATGCTTGATTTACTTGATGATGGTCTGCTTACCAATGCTTGCTCTAAGTTTCAACCCAAACACAGCTAATAAATCACTAATGAAGTGGTTCTTAAAACATCTGCTTGAATACATAAACCTAAAGGCCATAAAAATGTCACTCCGCAAAAGAA